AGCAATATTCATCATGAAAACAGGTATGTTTTTCTGAATTTTATCATAGTGCAAACTCATATGATTTTCCATTAGTTTCTAGATGTCTGTTCCCACCCATTACATATCACCAGTTTTTCACCATGAAATATATCAGACAATATTCATATACATCTTACCTATCGCTAACCACGTTCGAAGCAAAGTTTTATCAAGTACTAAGTATATGAAATTACGATAGAAATCATTCCATATCGCAGTCACAGTTTTTAAGTGATAATCCGATGGAATCTATCCATCATCACATAGAATGAATAAATCTGCTGACATTTCTATGTTAAAAGATGGATCCAATAAACGGTACATGTCGATTTGTTTCAGTGTAGCAGTGGTGCTCAGCACGGAAAACAAATCAAGGGAAAAAAAACAAAGTTCTATCTACATATCTAGATAGAGCTGGAATTAGGGCGTAACAGCCTTTGTAAACAATGGCTTCTCTCGTTGATTTCTAGGAATTCAAGGCACGGTTACACAAACCAATATAAAAACTTTTATAGAAATACACAGTTTTTGTGCGAATCATACTCAAAACAACGAGAGAATTAACTTTTTTTAACCATATAATTAGTATTTTATCGAAGACAACACATCAAGAATACTGTCAACTCTTCCATTTTCTCATACGAACACTATGAGACAGATACAATCGCGTCATCTGCCGCTCAAAGGTAAATGCTTCGAACGAATTTGATAGCATAGTTTACATCCTCAGAAGAAAGGTTTGTCTATTTGCTGATTTTTCTTAAAGAGTCTGAATTTATAAAGAGACGACATGTCAACATTGGAACAATCGATTGTCTGTCAAAGTCATAGGAAAAGTCATTCCAATCGAGCAGAAGACCTGTCAAATATTCAGGCTCTTTAATTTTTCTATGCGTTACTTCCACCTTCACTCAAGCGCTGCGCTATTGTATTTGTCGCTTGGATTCTGGCAAAGTTGCCAGTTTTCTTGATATGATGTCTTCAATTTTATTCAAGACTTATCCGATCCTTGTTTTCATAATAAAGGAATAATTATACATAATCAAGTTTTATACAACATGCTCCAATCGGTCACGAATACATTAAAAAAAAATTCAAGACGTGAAAGTTTAGTTGAGGTTTTTGTTTCACTTTACATATATATAAATATAACTACTTCGATGATTAAAGCTGGCTTGAAATTGGAAATGTTAACTGTTCAAAAAAAAGTTCAATGAGCTGTAACTTTTCAGGACGGGCATCAACATTTCTATAATCGTAGCTGCTGGTACATCAACTATTCTAAAATAAGCGGTATGTTTTTATCAAACAAAAGCTTAATTGGCTGAGTTTGTGTGAAGTTTGTGCAATTTTAGGAAATTGCTTTTTATTTGATTACCCTTTTTCAAACTGCATTTTTTTAAAGTACATATAATGAATCGAATTAACTGAAATTTTGCATTTTTGTAGTCAAGATTTCAAGTTACAACTTATTGAACTTTTTTGAAGAGTTAAAAAATCACGAGAACTTTTGGCCAGTACTGTACTTCTCTGTTTTTTTTTTTTCATTTCCAAGTTCAAATCAGATTTAAGAAATGATGAACTAGGTATATTTTATTTAACTAAACATATTTTGAATTATTTGAATTTTAACTAGATTTTTATGGAAAGAATCATGGATATGCAGGACTGTTTACATGTTAAGACATCTTAAAAGTCAATCTAGATTATCGGGGACTCCAGAATATGGCCACTTTACCCCAAAGTATTTCATATTAAATACACTTTGATCTCGTGCTTCTGAACGGTATAAAGGGTGTCCACGATGAAATTGCCACACACAAAATTGATTCGCAAAATTCGAGTTTTCATCCGATTGCCATCAAATTTTCAGGGATTGAGAAATAACTATTAAACTTCATTTTACCATTTTACTCGTATTTTATTTACAGTCCATACGCAAATGCCCGCACCTTGGCCTTAACCCCGGCCATAAGATTCTGCACAACCTGTGAATCAACCGTTTTTTGCATGTAAACCCATACTTTCTTCAGTTCCTCGACTGTCTTCACTACCTTAGGTCGTTTAAGAAGGTGCTGCTTCATAATCGCCCAGTACTTCTCGATGGGGCGGAGCTCCGGAGTGTTGGGAGGGTTGAACATTTTCGGTACGAAATTGACCTTATTGTCCGCATACCACTTCAGCACGTCCTTAGAGTAGTGGCATGAGGCCAAATCCGGCCAGAAGATTGTTGGGACGTTGTGGGCCTTCAGGAGAGGAAGCAGCCGCTTCTGGAGGCACTCTTTTATGTACACCTGTCCGTTCATCGTGTCCTGGGTCACGAAAGGTGCACTCCGCTTCCCGCACGTGCAGATGGCTTGCCAAACCAGGAATTTCTTCGCAAATTTGGACATCTTCTGAGTGCGGACATGCTCCGGAACGCTGAACTTATCCTTGGCCGTGAAAAACAGGTTGCCGGGGATCTGTTTGAAGTCGGCCTTCACATATGTTTCGTCGTCCATGATGCAGCATTCAACTTTCGTCAGCATGTTGAGGTACAACTTCCTGGCACGGGTTTTGGCGGACTTGTTCTGCTTCTCGTCGCGATTAGGGGCCTTTTGTACCTTGAACGTTCGAAGCCCAGCCTTAGTTTTGGCCTTCTGGACAAAACTTCGGCTTAGGTGCAGCTTCTTAGCCACATCCCTAACGGAGCCGTTCGGATTTCGGTTGAAGGCCCCAACTACGCGGTTGTGATTTTTGGTGTTGTACGGAATACTTTTTCCTTCACTTCTGGGCTTCCGATCGGTGGTCAACCGTTCCTCGAACCGCTTAATCACTCGCGACACCGTGGAATGCGCGATTCCCAACGTTTTAGCGATGGAACGATGCGAGAGATCCTTGTTCTCGTGATGAATGCGCAAGATTTAATCACGCACGAGCTGTTCTTTCGACTCCATTTCCGCGAGTTTTGATCACAGGACTTTAAAACTTGCAGGATGTAAATAATGCACTATGAACTAAATCCACCCAAATTTTCATTAAATTCTACCCAACGGTTAAAAAGTTAGAGCAATTTCATAGTGTGGCAATTTCATCGTGGACACCCTTTAGTAAAAAAAATCACAAGCTTCTATGACAATTTTTATAATCTGGCCACTTTATAGGCCAATCCGGAATATCCGGAGAACCAGGATATGGTCATTTTATCACAAAATATGAATAGCATGTCAAATACGCTTTGATCTCGTTATTCTGAATGATATTGAAAAAAAACGTAAGGTTCTAGGTTATAATGTGGCCACTTTGTCGGTCAATCCGGATTATCCCAAAATTTCAATTCCATATTACGTGATTCTGAACGACATAATAAAATCGCAAAGTTCTAGAACCATTTTTATAATGTGGCCACTTTATCCGTCGTTCCGCATCTTCCTTTGGGCCAGCAGAGGTTCCCCCTGAGGGCGTATATGGTGTTGTTAAAGGGTGATACGGTCAAAATTTGGTCAATATCAACTTGACGTATTTCTTTCAATTTTGCATTTAAAAAACCTGAACACCCCTCATTTTGAAGGTGTGTGTGTGTAGAATGTTGCTCCTATTTTGATTTTGGAATTCACTCTTCAGTTGTCAAAATGCCGTCCAAGCAAGAAGAGCAGCGTATCAAAATTTTGCTCGCGCATCGCGAAAATCCGAGCTACTCGCACGCAAAGTTGGCAAAATCGCTAAAAGTTGCCAAATCAACCGTTACAAATGTAATTAAAGTGTTTGGAGAACGTTTGTCGAAAGCCAGGAAGTCTGGATCGGGGGGAAATCGAAAACCGGAAGCCGCTGAGACGACAAAGAGAGTTGCCGGTAGTTTCAAGCGAAACCCTAACCTCTCTCTCCGAGATGCCGCAAATAAGCTGGGTGTATCGTCTACAACCGTGCATCGAGCCAAAAAACGAGCCGGACTATCGACTTACAAGAAGGTAGTGACTCCAAATCGCGATGATAAACAAAATACGACGGCCAAAGCGCGATCCCGGAGGCTGTACACGACGATGCTGACGAAGTTTGACTGCGTGGTAATGGACGACGAAACCTACGTCAAAGCCGACTACAAGCAGCTTCCGGGACAGGAGTTTTATACGGCAAAAGGAAGGGGAAAGGTAGCAGATGTTTTCAAGCACATGAAACTGTCAAAGTTCGCAAAGAAATATCTGGTTTGGCAAGCCATCTGTACCTGTGGCTTGAAAAGCAGCATTTTCATAGCTTCCGGGACTGTCAACCAAGAAATTTACGTAAAAGAGTGTTTGAATAAACGTCTGCTGCCTTTTCTGAAGAAACACGGTTGTTCCGTACTGTTTTGGCCGGATTTGGCATCTTGCCATTACGGTAAAAAGGCCATGGAGTGGTACGTCGCCAACAACGTGCAGGTGGTTCCCAAGGACAAGAACCCTCCCAACACGCCAGAGCTCCGCCCAATTGAGAAATACTGGGCTATTGTCAAGCGGAACCTAAAGAAGACCAAAAAAACTGCTAAGGGCGAGCAGCAGTTCAAGGCAAACTGGCTTTCTGCGGCGAAGAAGGTGGACAAGGTGGCTGTACAAAATCTGATGGCAGGGGTCAAGCGTAAGGCCCGGCAATTCGGATTTGAAAAAGCGGAAGCCTAACTGAATATTTTTCCTGAATTTTATACTAATTGAACTTGAAAAAGAAATTTAATTTGATTTTTTAAATAAACGATTTCACCGATTTACACGCGTTTTCCCTTGACCAAATTTTGTCCGTATCACCCTTTACACCTAATATATTTTTATTCCATGATTTGTTTTCCGTACTGAGTACCAATGCTACCGACGCCACATTTGGACCCTACCTATCGACCTAACAATTCATAGACTGGGGACCAACGGTTTTACTTGCATTCCGAAGGAAGGCGTGACCAGTGAGGGAGAGGGGGGGGGGGGGTTACCAGAGATGAGATAGATTATGCTAATCAATTTCCATACCATTAACAGCACAATTCGGCCCCTGGAACTTCGGTCCACAGCACGGTTTCGGCCGGGTAGTACGATGGACTCTGGAACGAGCTCCGGAACGCCTACCGAGCGGTGATGTGGAAGCAGTCTTTAGCCTAATGGACAACGAAATCACACGATCTATGTGGAACTATCCGTAAGTCAATGTACATTAGGAACCGTACACTTACTACGTACGGTTTAAAAAATAAACATTCTTACGTTTTCTTACAAGGGAGGCAGGGAATCACAGAAATAGCTTACGAATCATAAATAATACAGAACATATTGATTTTCGATGTTAGATCTTGCTAAGGGGGACCTGTGATTCATAACCCCTATAAAAATCATACGTAATAAGCGAATGGTCCCTTACCGTCTCAATTTGCTAACGTGAACCATATCTAATAAATTTCTCAGATTCCGCATAACGTATCGATTGATTCTTCGGGAGAAGGAACTCCACTTTCACATCGGCGTGTACAATCCTAGTAAAGACCTAACGTTCTCCTTCAACCTGCTACTGCACACATACCTGAAGGTTCCGGATGTACGACGGTGTCAAATTACCGGACTGCACGGCTGTACATTTATCGATAAGGTAATAGAAGGAATTAATCTATAGCGCAACGTGGTTCAACTACTTTTCTCCCAACAGACTAGAGATGGTGCTATCTATCAGGAAGGTCGTGACGTAGTGACAATCAATGAATGGACGGACCGAATCTACCAGCACACGCCGCAGGAACACATCATCACGAATGTTGTTTCCGGCAGGAAGATGCGGTTGCAGAAGTACAACTTCCCCGATACCGGTAAGATTCCTGTGGTAGTAGATTGAAATGTAAGGTCATCTAATGATTTTTTCCTCCAAACAGTTGTGTGGAACCCTTGGATGGATAAAGCCCGGGAATGTCAAGATTTCGGTGACGATGAGTACCCGAACATGGTCTGCATCGAGGCGGGGCACGTGTCGACACCGGTCATCCTTCTGCCCGGTACCGCGTTCGAGGCGAGCCAAATACTTCAGGTAGTCGTTGAACATCAAATGCCCAATCTAGTACAGCATTTTTAAAACACGTGCATTTATCACCTTTCAGGTCATGTGAGTAGAAACCCAGGGAGGTGCTGTGACCCGCAGTAAAGGTTCCTCCCGAGCAAAATCCAAGAAGAAGCAACAACAACAGCAGCAACAACAGCAACCCCAGCAGCAGCAGAACCAGCAACAAAATCAAAACCAAGTCAATCAAAACAATCCTCAAACTCAAAGTAGTCACCAGCAGAGTCAGCAGCAACAGCAACAGCAGCAACAACAACAGCAACAACAGCAGCAGCAACAGCAACAGCAACAACAGCAGCAGCAGCAACAGCAACAACAACAGCAGCAAGTCACACTTCAGCAGCAACAGCTTGCCTCGAATGCTGCCGCCTTGTGGCAAGTTCCGGCTGCTGCCGCAGCTGCAGCGGCCTGCTGGAACAACTATGCCAATTTTCAGACTGCTGGTGTCCTGGCATTTAAAATGCCACCGTCCTGCGGGGGTCTCTGTGGTCCCCAGACCAATTGTGAGCTATGTTCGCTAAACACCAACTGAGTAAAGCTGGAAACCGAAGACGATCATCTGCTGGGTGATCTATCCGATGAATTAGATGACGGCTGTGAATAGGAAGCTGTGTCCGTGTGGTACTAGATTGTGGCGAAACATCGCCCGAATCAATGCTGGCTTAGGCCAATCTAGTACCACAATTCACAATCGCATCGCTGTTATGGATTTTGCTCAAGAAAGCGCAAATTAAGGGTATTTTAAATTAACTAAACCGAATCAAATCAAAATCGCAAAGTCGATACGAAAAAGAGAGAGAGAGAGAGAGAAAGAGGGGGAGTGAGCGAGTGAGAATGTCCGAGATATAGCAAATAAATCAATTAACTAAACCTAGAACCGTAATAGTAGTTTTTTTTAGATTTATTGTACGTGGGAAATGAAGCTACCAGTTAGATAATTTTCTTATGTTTTTAAATCATTTTAGTGCATTTCCTATTGCCGATATTGGTCGTGTAAATAAGAGGAATAAGAAGAAAACAACCATAGTTAGATGAGACGTGCGACGTACGACAGGGAGCGTGACTGCAGCTAGGGTTAGGTTTTATTAAACTTTTTTACCAATGTTAGGATGGCTATTCGTTAAATCGATTTCCTTTATCGTCTATTTTTCATTTGGCTTAGTCGCAAAGCGACGTGTTATATCGAATTAAAAAAAAAACTATTGAAACTGTTTAGACTCTAAGTAAAACTAGGTTTGGTACTAAAATTAACCACGAAAACGGACATTAATTTAAAAATTTACTAAACTAATTAACCACTTGGAAAAAGTGAACCTAATAGGTAGCGTTAGCGATTAAGGGGACAATTTCGATATTATTCGGCATTCTAACTAGCAATTTCCAATCAAGACATTAAACAAAACACGCATACAAAATGAGAACATACGATTCGGCCATTTGTAGGGTTAAGGCACAGAAAACAATTTCAAAATTACGTCGTTTTGGCAGTGCTTTAGGGAGTGATGAACAATTATTCGACAACAACATTTCAAAAGAGTGAAACTGCTAGTGTAACAAAGGGGTTTATTCGCCTAATTTTCGTGAATAAAAGTACACCCATGTAAACTTCCATAGTATTTAGTAAGTTTTGTTTATTTGCGAGTGTAAGTTCTGATTCTTGAGCAAACGGTGATTGAAGTCATTGTTCACAAAAGCCAGTTTCACCCAATTGAAATGATGCTACTGAATGACTAAAATGCGCATTCGAATGCAGATGGTTAACAGTTGAGTGGGGTTATTTGTTTGCTTTCGTTGTACAACACAGATTTCGTAACTGCCATATCAATTTTGTTCATGTTTTTTGAGAGGTTATAGGACAATGTATGAAGTGTACTCTATAAATATTTTTTTTTTCCAATTGAACAATAAATTGTTTAGGTTTAATTTTGTGGAGGTTGATCATCTGCTACTACCATTAACTGCACCTAATGCAAGGTTTAAGCAAATTGTATACGAAAACATTCTTGTAGTGTAAATACATACAAACGAAAATTTATGAGAGAAACTGAAATATTGACAGGCACATTTAACTTTATTTTTCTGGCATCTTATTTTATATAAATAAATTTTAAAACAACAGTCGACTGATCACTAGCAGAGAAATCCCATATCCATATTCCGTAGCAGAAGCCAAATAAAAAAAAAATGCTTAGTTCGGGAAATGCAAGCATTTTGAGTCTCCTATTTCAACCCATTAACGTTTCAACTATCTTTTCTCAAAAAGATTACACGGAATCATTCATATACTCATCGATGCTTAAAATTTAAACACTTTTATATCTATCTCTTTTCTTCTACCGAAAATTGTTAACCACCTTAGAGGAAACCCGCACATATTTATTATAACGAGTATTTATGCATATAGGGGAAATGACGGCTTCGGCATGCCAGGATATTTTCGGCAACCCAAATTGAAACACTATTTTCACTGGATTTTCTTACGAAAACACTTCGCTGAATGCATGCAAACGATTCTTTATGCTTTCAGCTTCAATTTGACTATATTTTTACCACTGAGAAAAAGCAATCTAGCAAGGTTTTCTTGAAATGAAACACACGCACTACAAATTGTAGCTGATTTCGAGTTGCCGATAATAGAACAGCAGATTTACATGCAGTTCAAATGGAACGGTTGCCGAAGAAAAACTGGTTGCCGACAATACTCGCTCTCACTAGAGAAGATTGGAGCTTTGTAATAGCGTTTCAAAACAGTTTTTGACAATTCTTTCGACTGGAATTGTTAGAGCAGCTGGCAGCAAAAGATTGTAAACAAACCAATACTGCATATGTGTACGTTCCTTAGAGAAAAGGCTATAGAAAGAAGGTCGCTGCTTAGGTTGCCGAGAATACGTAAATTCCCCTATGTGCGGGATTTCTAAAAAGTGGTTAAATATATACGAGATAGATATAAAAAGTTAGTGTTTAAGTTTTAATCATCGATGACACTGATAAAAAAAAAGTAGCTCAATTATAAAATCTACCGATATTTTACTCAAATCAACCATAATCTCAACAAATTGACTATGCTCTCCACAAAAACTAACTTAGTATTGCCAACAACATTAATGGTTAAAACAATTACTTCGACTCTACCATGTTATTAAATGCTATGGTAACATCAACAGAAAAGCTGTTTAGTTGGAAAACAAGACGTTTGATATTTTACGGATCTACTCCAAATACACAGAAACAAAATCTATTGGCAAAAATACTACATTGATGGTTTAAATTAAATACTCTTACCAATAGATTTGTGCAGAAACGAAATTCATTTAATTTTACTATTTTTTCTATCAAAACTACTATGCCGTTTGAGTAAGCATAGTAGTTTTGACAGAATGGTAGTAAATTTGATTATATTTTTAGTCAACTATACTGAAATTATGGTAGATTTAACGGCATTAAGCGTAGTTATATTGAAAATAAGTGTTTTCTGCAAAATAGTATTCCTAACTATGGTCTTTGTTTCAGTGTAGGGTGATGGCGACGGATACTTGAAAATCGGAACGAAAGGGGACGAAGTAAAACTCCAGCTTTGCACTCCGAAAGGCAGCGTGCCTAGTCGCAGATTTGAATTCAACCAACAATCAATACGAAGCTACCCTAATAAACGTGTACCATATACTGACGATATCTTAGATGGTGCGACCATACCAGATAAAATTGGGATGATATCCCGAATTGGCGGTTAGGCGCATCTTATGGTCAAGGTTGCAAAGACTCATTTCAGCTAAAACAATGTTTTTCTAAATTATGAAATAATTAGATGCCATGATCAAATTTTGAATTGGTAGGATACAAGAAGAGGTTGCAAAGAATGTGTTTGACATATTAAACCTGTTTATTTCACTTCATGAGAGTCACAATCAGCGATTTTTCACAAACTCACTCACTCACTCACTCACTCACTCAGCGATCAGCAAATCGCTGATTGTGACTCATAGAAAGCAAAATTTACAGGTTTTATGTTTCCAACGCATACTTTGTAACCTATTCTTGTAAGTTACAAGTAAAACATGCCATCATACCATCTTTTGGTTTTATTATTCCGAAAAACATTATTTTAGCTGAAATGAGTCTTTGCAACCTTGCTTATGGTTATTGTTTATGCGGGTAACGATTTTAAATTGGCTCACTACTTGACTAGCCTATTGGTCCCAAGCAAATCGATTAACGTACCCCATTCTAGTATAAATTCCAGTATTACACTATGTTTGTTTTAATTCGCTATGAAAGATTAACAGGTAAAATGAGGGGTTCGTGGATTTTCCTATTTTTCGAGGGGAATCGATTAGGGTGGGACCGAAGATAAAGGGTGATACGGTCAAAATTTGGTCAATATCAACTTGACGTATTTCTTTCAATTTTGCATTTAAAAAACCTGAACACCCCTCATTTTGAAGGTGTGTGTGTGTAGAATGTTGCTCCTATTTTGATTTTGGAATTCACTCTTCAGTTGTCAAAATGCCGTCCAAGCAAGAAGAGCAGCGTATCAAATTTTGCTCGCGCATCGCGAAAATCCGAGCTACTCGCACGCAAAGTTGGCAAAATCGCTAAAAGTTGCCAAATCAACCGTTACAAATGTAATTAAAGTGTTTGGGGAACGTTTGTCGACAGCCAGGAAGTCTGGATCGGGGGGAAATCGAAAACCGGAAGCCGCTGAGACGACAAAGAGAGTTGCCGGTAGTTTCAAGCGAAACCCTAACCTCTCTCTCCGAGATGCCGCAAATAAGCTGGGTGTATCGTCTACAACCATGCATCGAGCCAAAAAACGAGCCGGACTATCGACTTACAAGAAGGTAGTGACTCCAAATCGCGATGATAAACAAAATACGACGGCCAAAGCGCGATCCCGGAGGCTGTACACGACGATGCTGACGAAGTTTGACTGCGTGGTAATGGACGACGAAACCTACGTCAAAGCCGACTACAAGCAGCTTCCGGGACAGGAGTTTTATACGGCAAAAGGAAGGGGAAAGGTAGCAGATGTTTTCAAGCACATGAAACTGTCAAAGTTCGCAAAGAAATATCTGGTTTGGCAAGCCATCTGTACCTGTGGCTTGAAAAGCAGCATTTTCATAGCTTTCGGGACTGTCAACCAAGAAATTTACGTGAAAGAGTGTTTGAATAAACGTCTGCTGC